TTTCTCTAAAAAACTTGAACAAATTTATGGAAGTAAGAATGTCAAGTAATACCGTGCCGTCAAATAAAAGCACATCTAGAGGATTATGTAAAAGTAAACTGCTTCTCTTTACAATACTGCTGGAGATAATAGAAGCAATAGGAAGTAAAGAACTACTGCTTCTATTATCAAACAACTATATATATTATTCCAAATTTCTATTACGTGACTGGGTATATATACGGGTGCAAAATGTAGATTCTGTGAAGAGAATGAGGAGTCCGCCACACATGTGCTGTTAGAGTGTCCTATGCTAATGCACTTACGGAATAGGCTCCTGGAAATGTAGATAATAAAATTATATAAAGTAGGTTCTAAACTACTTTTTATTGACGCAACAGGGCTTAAAGAACTACTCTAAACCCAAAAGGGGGCACAATAGACCTGACGGTCGCAGCGCCACATCCTCTAACAATGCTAAATATGATAATACCAAATGTCCAAATACCAAAAGGTATAATCTTGCAAGATAGAACTTATCTAGTTGAAATAAAGAATAATCGAATCAATTATAGAATAGAATGAAGTTTTTGTCTCTACACTGCTAGGAATATGGAGAGTGTAAAGTGTGATTAAAAATTTTATTAAAATTGCTAAAACGCAATAAATGATAGTTCGATCTCGATCTCGATCATTGTACTAATGGATGTGGCACAACAATTAATTATATAAAAGAAGAGTCTATATTCATGTAAGACATTATAAAATGTTGTCTAATAAAAAGCTCCATGGGATATATGACAGTTTTAATATGTTGTCGAAACTGCAACGATGGGAAGGAAGATAAAAACATATTTTTATGTTGCAACTTTCACATTATGAATCTCATGCATTACGGATAACCTATGGATCTTGCTAAACATTCCAATGAAAAAATCGAAAATCTGATCGACGTACAATATAGTGGCGTTGCAAAATAAGAAAGTGGTGCGAAAAATTTTAGAGTGAACAATATCACAATACATGTTAACCCAGTGGCTTAAGAATTCTGGCAAGAATAGATTAAAGACTTTTAAAATATATTTAAAATATAGAACGTAAGGCAGCTTCTCTCAATTTTTGAAAGATTTTTGTGCTTCGTAAGACTGTAGAAAACTGGAATTTCCTAATATATGTGTCAAAGATAGTCGATAACTGTTGAATTTAATCTATCTTAACTAGAAATATTAAGAACACGTTATTAATTAAAAACTTAAAAAACAACAAGAACTTATATTTGTATTATATCAATTTTTTATTGTTCATTTAAGAAAAGCTGTGGAAGTTCACTTCTATAAATTTTATTTCCGACAAAAAAACTTGAGGAATTAATTTTTTTAAAAATGCCTCAAGAGTACTGAATTTACTTATTTGTTTGTTTAATCATAAAACTGGCATCCTTCTCGTTAAACACATTTCGCCTCTACACTTTATTTTCTTTATACGCTTTTACTGTGATTATTTTTAAGACTAAATATTAAATAAAATAAAAAACTAAAAAAAAAAAATAAGAAAAATATGGCAACTTTGTGCATTTCTACATACAAATTTTTGCTACGCTTGCAGCACACGGAACAGATTGAAATTTGTTGCTTTGCATGCGGCAAGTTGCATACACTTTCACAGCGAACATATCCCTGACTTCCTGCCTGTCTGCACTACTATCTGCTTCATTATTATTTTTTATAATGATCATTTTAAGGCGATTTCCACAAATTTCCGTTTCCGCACATTTTCGTTCCTGACGGTCTTAAAAGTGTTGCCACTGCTAACAACATTGCATGGGCTGGAGCTGGAGCAAGGACTGTGACAGATTGAGGCTGAGACTGAGTTTGGGGCTGGTGTTTGGGCTGGGTCTAGGACTGGGACTGGAGCTGGGACTGGTGTATAAGACGACATTTTAGTTGCAGTTAGTCACAGCATAAATAAGCGCTCTTTTTCTTCATGGTTAAGCACAATTTGGTTAAGACGCTCAAGGAAAAATTTCATGCTTTTTGCTGCATGCAAAATTTTCAGCGGAAATACAAAAAGGAAATTTCATATTTTCATTAAAATTGTCGCTAAAAAGAAATGCGTTGCATTTGTGTTCAATGTCACATTTGCGCGTAACTTGACTGTAATAAAAAAGTTCAAAAAAACTAAGAAATTATATATTATTAATATTTACAAACAAAAAAAAAAACATTTGAAAAGAAATGAAAATTAAATGCAATCCAATGCTTTGTAAGTTGGCTGGAAGGCAACTTTTAAATTGTTACAATGGTCTGAACTTTCTAAGGAATGTGATGTTATATATCTCTGGCCGAAAAATGATCTGGTGTATTTTTTTAGAGAAACTTTCATATTCATATGCAAAATTTTAATTGCCTTCTATCAAGCCAAGTCATTAGTACCAAAATAAATGCCAATGTAGATACCTATCCATCTAAGATAGATATTTAACCCATATAGATGTTTTATAAATAATATTTCCTATATTTCCCATTCAAATAATACTTACTATATCTTTTAACAATTTTAATGAAATAATAATTCAATTTCAATAAAATTTATATAAATTATAAAAATTATTTCTAAAAACTTATAAACAAAAAGTCGAATTTGTTTGTGTTTTCTTGATGCATGTAGTATTGCTTTGGATCGAAAACCCGCTAACTCCAAAATCGAAAAAAGACTGCAATCATTTATCATTTGATGTCTGCGCAACATATTAGACATGTGGGAGCCTAGAATAATTTCAAATGAAGATTTATGGAGAATGACGCACCAAACAAACGTAAACAGCGGGATAAGAAGAAAGTTGGTTGGATTGAACATACACTGCGTAAGCTTTATGAATCGCGCATGCTGCACTTACTTGGAACCCTCAGGGAATTAGGCACAGAGGCAGACCAATGACTTGGAGTAGGACAGTTGAGCAGGAAACGGGCAAATCGTTTAACGAGCTGAGAGCAGTAGCACAAAATATAAACCAGTAGAAAAATTTTATAGATTCCATAAGTTCCTAATGGAATATGGAAATAATAATAGTGTTGTTTACCTTAAACTGAAAAATTAAGCTTCTGAAGTGACCTAGGGTTTTTTTTTTTGAAAACTTTAAAGTCTGGTTCTTCCTCTAGATCGGTCGCACCGAAATATATGTGAATGTAGCTACTTTTCGTTCTAGATTTTAACCCATTAAACTTTTATGATAAATATTTTCTCTATTCTTGCTTTTATAATTAAAATAATAATTTATGTTATATATCATATAAACAGATAAGTATATATATATATACTAGGAATATTCACCAGTATGAAAACTTATATATAATAATTACTAAATTTTTACTGTAAATCTGCTGTCTACATAAGTATCTTAGGTTTATTTTTCCCTTTTTATTGTTTAAATGAATTCCTACATTATTTGTGCTCTTACAAATTTCTTGAATTTCATTGTGAAAATGTTGTACTTGCAATTTCTATTATCATTGCGAATTTATTGTTATTTTTTTTTGTTTTTAAGCGTGGCACATACAAAAACATAAATTTTTGAATTAATTACTTTCGGCTTCCTTTCCTTATATAGTAACAAAAGCAAATTTATTCATTTGTACTTCACTGTTAAAATAAGAACATCCCATTTTTAATTAGTGCTTGAAACTATTATTCCTTCCAAGTTTGAATATGAATATTTTTTCAGATATTTTTTCGCCTCTGGTTAGACTTTGCAGTGCCAAATTAATTAAAAACAATTTTTAAACACTTATAGTTCAGCAAAATAATTGTTAAAAATTGTGATTAAATGAAAAAAGCGAGTTTAAAAAAATTATAAAATAAAACTAAGTAAAAAATAAATATAACCTGTAACTTTGTATACTTTGTATTTTTAGCTCTTTTAACTATTGTTTCCTATATATAGTAAAGTGCTGCATTAAGATTAATTAACAATATTACCAATCTATTACAATCACTTTATAAAAAACAAAGCAACTTAATGGAAATAATGTATAATTCTACACGATATCTGTTGTTTTTTTTATTAAATTTCATTAAATATTATAAGTTGTAATTTAATGTCAATTTTTCAGTTGAAAGTGACTAAAATATGTAATAGAAACTAGTATATTTCAGTTTTTTCGAAAAGTAATGAACTACAACAACAAAAATTCATTTTTATATTATTTTAATTTATTTAATTTTTGGCTGACCATACAGCTGTTTCAAGTATTGCCAAATTCACATCATCAGTGGTCTTGAAAATAGTTTCTGTATTTAATTATTCGTAAATAGTTTTTTGTGTCTGCAAATACTAGGCAACGAACACGTACCCTGTCAAATTTGAAGCTCAGAGTCAGCGCAATTTAAACAACTGATTTAACCAAAGCGTACTTGACTTTTATGTTCGCACATTTTTTTGGAGTTTTGTTACTTTGCTATTAATGTTTTATTAACAAATTTACTTGCTGTGTTTATATTAGAACGAAATCGTAAATTATTATAGAATAATTGAATTATTTTTATTTGTTAGATTTCATTAAATATTATTAAATCTATTTTTTAACACATCTCCATGTGTCCACTTTTCAATAAAATATTGCTTCCAATATATTTGATCCTCTTAGATACGCTCATGATTTTTGCTATAAATGTAATACTTAAAGCAAAATAATGGTCATAATAATGGTAGTTATTACTGAATTTGTTTCAAAATCTAACACTTTATATTTAATTATAATTTATAAATTATTACAGTTCATTCTCAATAAAATAATATAAAACAAATTTTGAATGTATTTCAAATCTGTATCAAAAAAAAAAAAATCTTTATTATAATATAGAAAATCATAGCTTTATGCATTACTTTATTTATTTATCAAATAAACACATAGCTAACACATAAACAATATAGAACTATTGTCTGTCCAATAAACTCTTTAATGCATGTTATATATAATTAATTAATAATATTTTATGTTTATTTATACAAGCAATCACGCCAATGGAACTCAAATTTTAAGCTGATTATGTTTTTGTGGTAATGTCAATGTAAACATAATGGCATATTTAAGCAGCTTTCTCTTGTAGCATTTAAACACAGCTTAAAATAAATCTATCAGATACATGCCAATTTGCAGGCAACGTTTTCGATTATTTTAATTTAGTTTTACTTTTCCAATTACAGACAAAACGCTGCTAATAATCATGGTGGTAAAAGTCCTCATATTTTTCTTGTTGGTTGCCATAACTGTAAGTTCCTCGCATTATATCCAAAATGAAAATAGTGAACTGATGGATGGATCTGAAATAAATGAAGCCAGTTTAATACCAAAAGTACGCACGAAACGTGGCATTTTTTGGGATTTCTTTCAAAAAGTCATCACCACTAAAAATTTGGTTGTTGATGTAAGTCTAGTTTACAATTAAATATAAATATTATTTTTTATATTAAAAATTAAATATTTTAAATTTCTAGCAATTTATTGACACAAAAAACAGTTTAAATGAAGTCTATAATATGTTCAATAGCGCATTTAGTGATCCTGCTCCGATGAAACCTACATTGCGTCCACCACCAACTACTGAAAGTTCCGTAAGTATAATTATTTCTACTTTTTATTAATATATGAATTGTTTTTTTTTTTTATAAAAAAAATTGCAAATATTATTATACTAAAATCGTGCTAAGACTTACTGCCTTTTTATCTCTTTTGAATTCGAACAAAATTTTCGAACAATTTAAAATCATTATATATAATTAGTATATTTGAAACTTCGAACCTACTCATATAGGACTGTAGATAAATAATCTTAAATATTTCGAAGCTTACTCTTTTTTTGAATTTGAATAAAATTTTGGAATAGCTTAAAACCATTGTGTATAATAAGTATATTGGAAACTTCTTATGTAGGTATGTAGACAAAATACCTTTCGAATAGCATATTCGAAACTTCGCATGTAACTTCTCATGTAAGTCTGAAGAGAAAATACTTTGAAAATTTCAAAACTTATTCTTTTTATTGAATTCAAATAAAATTTTCGAAAAGTTTTAAACAATAATATGTAATAGATATATTTTAATCTTCGAATCTTCTTATATAGGTCGATAACAAAATACTTTGAATATTTCGAAACTTATTTTATTTCTTAAATTGAAATAAAATATAAATAATAAATTTTAGAATAGTTTAAAACAAAAATATGTAATAGATATATTTGAATATTCTTATATATAATAGGTTGATAACAAAATACTTTGAATATTTCGAAACTTTTTTTTTTGAATTGTAATAAAATATTTAAATAATTTAAAATAATTGTATATAAGTAAATTCGAAACTTCTCATATAAGTCTAACCACAAAATGTTTATAAAATTTCGAAGCTTATACTTTTTATTGAATTCGAATGAAATTTTCTAATAGTTTTAAACAATAATATGTAATAAGTATATTTGAATCTTCTCGAATCTGAGAACCTACAGATTGGATTTAAGTGCCATGATCACTTTATTTTTCTTACGATCTTAATGTAACCTGATCAGGTAGAAATTTTACTTGATCCCTTAATCGTTTTTAAAATTAGCTTATTAAAGTATATACAAATAACATATATACTTATATTCTACATCATACAAAGTAGTCCGATCAAAAATATATTATTATATGTATAATTTCCTCTTGCTCACTAAAACTTTTTAAAACTAAAACATTATTTTAATTATTATCAATTAATATTATTATGAATTACTTTTATAATTATCTACTAAGAAATCCGAATCTGATGAAGAGAACACCACAGAAATGTCAACAACTACGGAAAGGTACACCATTTCTCGTTATGAGTTTGGAAGAATCCTAGGACGAAATTTCCGTGGCTTACAGCGC